ACCATCTAAGTGACTTAGTGGCTTTCTGGAGCCCTCCTCAACAGCTGATGTTTGTGGTTAATCTACAGTCTTGGCTCTTTACCACCTTTTGCCTTCTAGAGTCTTGGCTCCTCCCCGCTTCACCAAATGCAGCTCTCCTCTGTCTACAAATTTGACAGTACTTTCACAGTTGTACTCTTCAGAGTGTCTGCTTCCAGCTATTCTCTGAGACTCTTCCATGACCCTTTAACTGCTATGGGAGGGAATTCCTGGGCCTCTGCCCTCGTATGTAATCAGCTCAGTCTCTTTCATCTGTGACAAAGACAACAGCCGAGGACAATAAAACCAACCCAGGGAGGCTTTCCTTGGAACCTACTGTTGTGCATGAGGGAGGCTCCGGGGTAACTGTGGTTTATTCCATTTATACATGCTCACTAGATGCCTTGGGTCCCAGCATCACTCTTCCCTGACCAAACTGGATGGCTGCAATAAGATCTGGAGCAGCTGTGGAGTCATTGGCGTACCAGGAAAGGTACTTGTTAAAACCAAATAGACCCAGATCTATTAACAGGTAGATTCATTAAATGAAATAATTCTACAATACTGTAGGGTACTCAGCTTGCTCTATGTAAGACAGAGAAATTATTGTATAACTTTAAGAGAAAATTGTTGTTTTTATATAAACCACACACAGGAATTATTAGAGATAATCTGGTTATACTAAAAAAAAAATCCCAAAACCAAAGAACAATAACAACAATACCTTGCAGGAAAAGGAGATCTGAGATGAAACAAATAACTGGTTCTCATTCCAGGCTCCTTCTAGATAGTAACTCTGATGTCAGCCATCACAGGGCCTTTGGCCCTTCTGCTTCTGCTGACTGCTGTTGGCTCTTGCATCAAAGATACCTGAATTAAATGATAATTCCTGTCTGGGTACCATTAAGCTGATGGTTACTAGATCCCAATATAAACAGGTGCCCATCACAGAGTCAAAGATTTAACTCAGGATACAATGCAAGTGGGGAATATGAGAGCCAAAGTTGCCTTTTAAGTTTTAATTCCTATGGATAAGAGGCCCATGAAACAAAGCTCCTCTAACTGCAAGCACTTTGCCCAAGGACAGACAGTTCTTGAAATACTACAGGCTGCTATTTATGGGAGATAATAAGTCACATGTTTTCACTCTCCTAAACAAGTTCGTTTGACCCATCTGCACCAGATGTGGTTAATCGCAGGTGAGTGAGAGGGTCAAGGGCAGGAAATATATCAGGATGTGTGCTTGCCCCTGATTGGGCCTGATGGGAGGTGCTTAAGCTGCTGCAAACCATGATTTGTGGCCTTTTTTTTTGGAAAATCAGCGATGGACCTTGGTAGAGCCCTTCCATCTGGCCAGTATTTGAATAAAGCTTGCTTCAAAGTTGGTTTTAAACTGTGGGAGTGGTCTTATTCTAAACCTGTGGAATTAATAGTACATCTTTTCCTTCTCCATTTTAAATAAAACAGAAATTAAAAAGTCTATTGAGAATTTCAATTTTGACAATGTAATTTGTAAAATCACCCTTATTAACCTTAAACAGAAGTGATATTTTGTAGAAATTTATTGACTGTCTCCTGATGAGGTGGTAAATGTTGTGTGAATAGTGCTATCTTCACATTAAGGACTTTTATACAATTTTAAAAATGAACAAAAATATAAATAACCAAGCCAGTAATTAAGTAGGTAGATGTTAGATACATTTGAAGTGGAAATACTTTTGGAAACAAGGTTTTCCTGCCCGACACTAAATCACACCCCATCTACATTCTTATGTAGAAATCACCCATCAAGCTGGTATCCCTGCCCTAAATCATTCCAAGGTTCTTTATGAGGCAGTTAGAGAGCATACCTTGGCTTGCTCACAGTAAGTTGTTTACTCTGTCCTACTCCGACAATTCTGTGGAAAATTAATGAGAAAATCTTGTGCAAGCTTCAGACCCAATTTGACAGGTTTTTATTGAGGAATAACTTATTCCTTTTGCTACATGAGTGAGCATTGTCCTGCAAATACATCAAATGTATATAAGGAGGTGTTTACCTCCAAGCCGAATTCTTATTGTGCAAGGGAAGCATCAGAGACACACAAAATAAATGTTAAACTATCCTAGTATATATGATTTCTGTTTGGGAGCAGTAAGAATCATGCGTTTATTTGGGCAGTGAATGATGTACTGTTCTCATCGATTATCAAGTTTACTTATATCATCTTAAAACACAAGTGGTACAGTGTTTGGGGGGAAGAGATCGATGATAAATATTTTGTCTTTCAGGAGAATTCTGTCATTGGATTTTTAAAAAAAAGAAACACAACTTACCTATTCTTTGCATTGAATCCAGAAATAAGTGAAAATTTGTCTTTATTTTGATCAAGCTGTCTCATATTTATCAGTGTTTCCTGGTATGAAAGCACAGGTCAGAAACTACAGACCCACTCTGGACTGCTAGGATTTTCTATACATGAAATTTCACTGGAAATTTGTCATGTTTATTGAACTGAAAGTACATCATGTCCCATTTTCTTAATCTGTCTTTGATAGACACAATGTGGAGACAACCCTGTGAATGCTTCAATAACAGAAATAATGATTTAATCATCACACCCCCAAGAATCTTATCCTTGACTAAATTCAGATACATGTACAAATATGTATGCCAACTTACATGGACAAAAGGGTTTTGCTAATTATGTATTACACTAGCAGAACTAATGCTACTTTACTACTTGAGTTGAAATAAAAAACAAGGAAAGGATCACAAAGAAAGAGTAGTCATGGTCTGCAGAGATGACACTGAGATTAGTAATTAAACTGACTCTTCTTTGGAGTGCCCCAATGGAAAACCGCCAATGTAAGAGAAGCCACTCTGTGGGGTAGGGGTAGTTATGTGCACATTACTAGCTCTGTGAATCCTTCAGTGTCATCAGGAAATCATCACCCATTTCAGACTTGAGCTCTCCAGACCTAGTATATGTACAGATTGTTTTAAGTTTCTAACTGGTGACAGTTTGCTACAGGGGCAAGAAGAAAAGAAAAGGAATAGCTAAGGCATTAAAAACCAGAGAGTTTGGTTAGTGTTACCCCCAAGATATTTTATGTTATTTGTGGCTATTGTAAAGGGTGATGTTTCTCTGATTTCTTTCTCAGCCCATTTATTATCTGTATATAGTAGGGCTACTAATTTTTTTAAAGTTAATCTTGTATACTGACACTTTGCTGAAGGATTTATCAGCTGTAAGACTTTCCTGGTAGAGTTTTTTGGGTCACTTATGTAAACTATCATATCATCTGCAAATAGTGACAGTTGTTTCCTTTCCAATTTGTATCCCCTTTTGTTGTTGTATTGCTCTAGCAAGAAATTCAAGTACAATATTGAAGAGATGTGGAGACAGTGGGTGGCCTTGTCTTGTTCCTGATTTTAGAGGAATCTCCGGTTGAGTTTCTCTCCATTTAGTTTCACCCTCCCTGGGGAGCAGAATGGGATGAGATAGGGGGTAGGTGGGGAGCAGGGAAGGAGGGGAGGGAGAGGGAACTGGAATTGACATGTAAAACAAGATTGTTTCTAATTTAAATTTAAAAATTGTATAACTAAAAAAACCTTACTTTTCTTTTAAAACTCTTATCTGTGCAATTTCAGCTCTGGGCTTTCTTCCCAACAAGACTAAAATAGAGTGGCAGTCACACAATAAACATGAGTTGCTAATTGCCAAAAAAAACCCCACAAAAAACAAACAATAACAACAACAAGAAAAAAAAAACAGAGAGGTTTCTGTGTGCCGAAGTTGCTGTGATTCGATGTGGATTATGTTTTGTGGCTTTAAATTCCCTGGAATCCTAATGCTGCAGTGATAAACTGAGTTTTTTTAATTAAAACTGATGTCTTACTGGTGTCCTGTTCATCAAATAGATGTGCTATGCACAACTGTTACTGTTTTGTGTGTTGTACTGGACATTTATTACTTTTGGGGTATGAAATTAGTATTTGTTTTTTAAATATCAACACCTGGTGGCCCTCATTTTGAATATTTACTTTTCCAATAAGTGTAATGAGTTGTAGGAGAGTTTGCTAAGTAGATAAGAGCTAACGGGTGACAACAGCTGGAAAATGGCAGAATTTAGGCGAACACTCGTCTTTTTAGCACACTTTCACATTGCACGGCCATTGGGTCAACTCACAGATTTTAGTCTCTGAGTGGAGCCTCATGAGATCTGTGCAGACATTTTCCTTGGAGCAGCTGAAAGCAAATAACCGAGAGGATGAAGAAGAGCAGAGCCCCCTTTCTGTGTGGACAACGCGGGGGTGTTCATTTTGCCCTCCACACCCTAAAATACTCCGTAGATGAGATAATTCAAAACAGACTTTTCAAGCTTCAAGACACACACTCTCAAGTTACTAGGAAAAGAAGTGTACTCTACACAAACGGTTCATCTTTAAGTGTTTGACGAGAGCAAATTCACATTCCTATTTTTTGTTGTTGTTGTTGTAGTTGGTTTTTGGTTTTTCGAGACAGGGTTTCTCTGTATTGTTTTGGAGGCTCTCACTCTGTAGACAATCCTGGAGGATGGCCTCGAACTCGCAGAGATCCACCTGTCTCTGCCTCCTGAGTGCTGGGATTAAAGGTGTGTGCCACCAAAGCTTGGCTCCACATTCCTATTTTAAAGTTTTTCACTTTTGACACTGGTGCCCTTTAACATCATGAAATTAATTTAGGCAGAATAGCACCTGACAGCTCAATCTAATTTTATGGCGTTTATGAGCTGGTTGGCTTAGTTTCTAATCAATTAGCTATTCGATTGAGTCTGCATGGAACAGTAGATATTTTGGTTATTACTTCATTCAATAGCTATTCGGAAATTGATAGCAAAATGCACTCATACTTTAAAATGTAAGAATATATAGGAATGGATGTACACAAACCTGAAAAACAAATTCCTATAAAACTTATCATTTGTGTTTTTATTTCATTTTGAGCTTCCAGAAACAGTTAATTTAATGTGTGTAAGAGGTAGTCCAGAATAGCTAGAAAAAGTTTCCTTGCAATTTTTAGCTTCATTAGACTTTCCCATGCATTGAGTGGCAGTGTACCTGAAAAAAAAATCATAAAAATAGTTTAAAAGTCACAATAGAATTTTAATTTTAATCAAATTGTTGAAATTATTTAAAACAGGATAAAGTTCTCATTCAATTAGCAAATACTTATATACACAGATTAATGTGATATTTTGCATCTTTAAAATTATATGCTATACCTACACACTTAAAATTTTAATAGACAAATGGAGTTAAGATAATGAAGAAGAGAGATACAGCAAGGATTTTAAAGATATTAACTTATTACAAGTTCATTCTTTATTAAAAAGTTTGCTAATACACACTCAATTTCTGTATCTATGCAGAAACAGGAGCCTCAATGAGCAGTTTGTATGGAATTGCTTGGTATAGTATGGTTATGGTGGGTGCATCATAACATATAGTATAATCTTTAATTGTCATTTAATTGCAACATTGATCCATGATGTTTTACTGATCGTTATTAAAAAAAATAAGGTAAGATAACGAAACACATTGGACATCACTTTTGCATGACTTAAAAGTACATAATCATTGATATTTTTCCTCTACAAATCCACTCAAAGCAAAGCTGGTTTTAATAAGAGTGATAATGTTTACTTTTACTATCATGTTACTATTGCTAAGAGACATGGTTAATTAAAAACGCACAGCTCCAAGAACCTGACTTCTTTCATGCAAACAAAATATTTTAATTAAATGTTTCATATACTTATATTTGAGAAGTGAGTATAATTTTTCTGTAGTAGCAAACTTCATAAGGATCAAAAATTAAGGTCTGGAGTGTAGGAGTTGATGATGAAAAAGGTTAACTTTAGTTGCATGCAATTACTTTTATAGCAATTGAATTTTTAATGAAATTATGTTGAGTAAATCTTAAACATGTAAAATTATAAAATTTAAATATATAAATACATGAGAAAAACTATTTAGTAACTGTGTCAAATTAGAATAGAAGAAATATGTCATAATTGGCCTGTTAATATCAAAGAGTAATAAATACAGAACATTTGAGGTTCTTGGACCAGCAGTAAGGTATAGCGGCCAAGATGAGTGGTCTGTTGTAGAACAATTTTCCTTAGTTTCACAATAAATATTTTTTGGGTTGGTAAAATATTGAAGATATGACATTCAGATATCTCATGACATAAAGTATATTTGGTCTAATTTACATATAAAGTAACACTGCAAAATTTTTCTCATACTAAAAACAAAATGTAACCGAGAGGCTCAGTGGTTATGAGTTCTGGCTGCTGCCCAGGCAGCTCACAAACACCTGTAGCTTTAATTCCGGGGATACAATGCCCCCTTCTGGCCTTCACTGGCACTGCATACATGTGGTACACAAACATACATGCAGTCAAAACATCCATACACACAAAGTAAATCTCAATTTTTAAAAAATGTAGTAGACTGGCCAGGCAGTGGTGGCACACGCCTTTAATCGCAGCACTTGGGAAGTAGATCTCTGTGAGTTTGAGGTCAACCTGGTCTATGGACCAGTTCAAGGACAGCCAGGGTTGTTACACAAAGAAACCCTGGGGGGGGGGGTAGCTAAACCACGTTAAAATTTCCTCTTTCTTTAAATTCGATTGAACATACTCAACTGTAAATAACATTTTTAGCATTTTTGTTTTGTATAATTTGTTTTTTGCCATACTTCACTTACTTAAAAAAGAATATCTATCAAAGCTTCAGCATGAGAGGAGACATTTACAGTGCACTATGTCATCTTGATTCTTTCTATTGTATTCTACAGAGCTAAACAAAAGGGACCTACTAACAAGCCCAAAGCACATTTTAGTAAAACCAGAGCTTACAAGCTCTAGAAATTGAATCCTTTCTAGCTTTCCACTTCCTCCACTGACAGGTAATAAGCCAGCATTGGCTTAGAACTTGTGGATCCAAAATGTGCTGTCTTTATCGGACCGATGCTGGCAGAACACCAGCCATCCTGCTTCTTCTCTCCAGAAGGTTCATGGGGAAATTCACTTCTCTGAGACCTGTCATCCTCCACCTCTGGCCTTTGTGGCCACTATTGCCAACCATAAAGGAGACAAGTTAAGTTTATCTAGTGTCTAAAGTGTGACTCCTTCCTTTAATCCCTCCAGTCCTTTTACTCTGTAGGGGCCTTATAATGGTGAAAATATAATCACTGCTGGAGCCACAGAAGAGAGGGTTCTGGATCCCTGCTTTACCATCAAAGTAAGCTCCCCACTGGTTGTGCACAAATGATTTGCTATTGACTTGTGCAAAAACAAATTGAAACTAAATCCATCAAAATGAAACACATTACTCTAACTAATGTAGTTTTCATATTTAATCCACAATATTTTAATTTTATTCACATTTAAATTTTACTTTAAGAATTAGAAAACAGACACACACACAACATACATGCACATGCATGCACCTTTCCTTTAGTATAATAGTAGTAAACTATTTTTAGGAGTTTATCTAGTCATTTTCAACTTTATTTGCATGCACTTTCTCCCATGTTTTCTAGGAGAAGTAACTTGATTCAGAAATCTTGGGAAAATATACATTTCATATGACCAAAACTTTATGAGACTTTTTTTCTTTATATCTGTACCTAACAGAAGAGGATGAAAAAAGTTCCTATTATGTATTTTGGAACCCTGTTAACTGTGTGGAGGATATTACCTTTATGTTTGCTATATTTTCTTTTTTTGATTTTTTAAAAAAGAACTACATAGAAAATGAACTATCAGGTTAGATAAAAAGCACCCATCACTGAGGGAAGCTTATAATTAGCCCATTAAAAACAACTGCTCAGAGGGTGGAGCCAGGGTCTATAGGTCAACATTTTCCTCTTTAAATAGTCTAGGGGAATCTAATTATGCTTATCATCTGTGACATCAGCACAACACATAGAATTTGTAAAAAATAATAATTGAAAGGTGTCTCTTACCTATATATTTACGCATTTTGTGGAGGAAACTTAGAGCAAGCAGGACTATGTTCTGAAAGGGAGTAAAGTCACTGATGGGGTAGGCTGCATCCTGGTCAACAAGTATCCGTTGTGGCATGGCCTCCACGAATTCACTTACTTTCATCAAAGTTGTAGGAATCTTAGTGCAGTTAAATAGTCCACAAATAATGCCCAGTTTCTTTGAAAAATCTGCTTCCGGTTTAGAATAATATTTTGATCTAGTAGACAAGTAGGGGAAAGGTGCCTTTCAAATTACTCTACTCAGAAATTTCCTAACTCAAATTTCAAAGCAAATAAACTGCTAGAAATCTGTTGGTCTGTCCTTAAGACTGTCAACAATGTTTTTTGTTTGTTTGTTTTGATGAGGCTCCTAAATTTGAAAAGGTGGAGACAATTACTTCAAAATATAAATGCAAAAACGAGTGCTTAGTGAAATGTTTTGCCTTTGGCATCAAGTGATGTAGAAGGTTTTAGCAGGGTTCCAATGATCTGAAGAATGGGAAAAATGGGCTGGAGGATAAATATAGAAGGAGGAAGGATGCTAAAATAACACTAAAGGTGTCTGAAAAAGTCATAAGGACTCATACTATTAGCTAAGTACCTACAAAATACCTACAATAAATGTATGTCTGTGTCTACATATGCACACATAGTTAAAATGAAATTGTAGCATCTGGGCTGACAATGTTCCCCACAATAGCCATAGACTAACAAAAAACCAAGGCCAGACATATGAAACCTGCTCCAGTATGAGTTGTTGGTCAGGGTTGCTCAGTAGACTCCCAAAGCAATATAGACTATTGCTAGTACCTTTGGTTACCTCTGCCTCCAGGAGCGGAAGGTAAATCCCTATTGCTGAAGATACCAGACACTTCAGAAATAGGGCCCAGAGAATCTGACCTGAAAGCTTCCTTCCTGAGGACTAGCTTTCGTGATACCAGAAGGCATCATGCAATCTTCCAAGGGAGGGAAGCAACAGAGAGTACTACCCAGCTGTGACACCCATGAACCACAACCACCACCAGCATGGTAAAATAATTCTCAGGGTGCAGTAATGGTATACATTTTTTGGTGGTAACCAAAAACTCTCTGATTAGACTTAAAACCTTCTCAAGAAGAAAAAAACTGGGCCTGGTATTGGAAATAGCCAATTACCTGGGTCTGGTAAAGTTGTGGGATTTCCAAGAGGAATGAAAACTGCATATCTTTGGAGAAGTGCCTACTCAAACATCTCCATTTTCAAAATTGTGTCCTACGTTTCTTTTTTACTATTGTGTTGCCAGTGCTTTTAAACATGTCTTAAAACATACACACACTTTAGAAATATTTGTTCCTTTCTGTGCACTGTTACTGTTCTCTTGCTGCTTCAATAATACCATACACAGCACCAAAACTTTTAATTTTTGCAATCACTTTGTGGACTTTTCTTTTGTCCCTTGTGCTCTTAGGTTTGTGATTTAGAAAAGAGGAAAACTGGAAGGTTTTATTCTACCAATTCTATCAATTTAGGCCTCACATTCAGCTATAGGTTGCATTTCAAGTGACTTACGTCACCCGCAGAATTGTTTTCTGTCCCTATAGAAAAATCAACGCACCATGAGTATAAGTTTCTGGATTTTAAAGTCCATTCAAGTGAACTGAATTATACTACTGGCACCAAATTTTCCTAGTTAGTACAATTCTATATTAAGAGATTAAGAGAAACTGTATTGTATTTACACGTAAATTTAAGGAGTATTTTCAATCTATAAACATTAGAAGTCTTTCATTTTAAGTGTTGCACTTGTTAGCTTTTGTCACCTGACACAAGCGTAGATATACCCAGGAAGAGGTAACTTCAATGGAGGCATTTTCTTCAGTAAAGATGACTGTGAGAGGCCCCAGGCACTGTGGGTGGTGCTACTCTGGGCAGGGGGTCTTAGGCTGCATAAGAAAGAAAACTCAACAAGACATGAGAAGCAAGGCAGTAAGAAGCTTTTCTCCATGGTTCCTGCCTTGACTTCTCTAGAGTGCTGTGACTGGGGTAAAAACAAGTAACTCTTTCCTTCCCAAGCTGGTTTTAGTCATGTATTTATTATAGGAATAGAAAGCAAAATAGAAAAGATGTACAATACTTTCAATATTATATATGTGTGTTTAATGTGTAAATAATTATATATAAATTAGTTTCAAACAAATATGTGTTTTACATATTTGTATTAATATGCTTTTACATATTATATATCTATATATTATAATTTCTCTATAGCCCATGGCTGCCCTGGAACTCACTGTGTAGACTAACTAAACTGACTTGGAACTTGTAATCATTATGCCTCTGCTTTCCAAATATTAGGATTACAGCCGTGCTCCACCAGACCTGGCACATTTTATCTGTTTTTCAACAACATTTTATTTTTTTATTGAATTTCTATAAAATACATCTGATTTCTAGATGTTTATCCTTTATCCTTCTACTTACTTATTAACTATTCTTAGTTATTTTTCTTTACTAGAAGCAAAACATGATATTGTCTTTTTATTAGTATGACTTTTACTCCTTTGCTTTTGTAAATTTCATCAAGAGAATCTTTAGAGTAGATATATCAATAACCAAAAAAAAACCCTTTATTTGGTTTCTAGTCATTGCAGGAAGCTTTTTCTGGCTGTAGTCTCTTGAGGTTAGCTGTGCAGTTTCTAAGTGCATCTCAAGGTTGAGAGACTGCTTGTCTAGTCCTGGTTTTCTTCATACTTGTGTGATTACATTCTCTGTGTCTCTAAGTATCATGTTCATTTTATATTGTTTTCTTCAGTCTCCCTGCTTTATTCAGTGACTATCAAATGCCAAACATCTCTTACTGTTGTAACGAACCCTAACATGTTAGTTATGCATGTAATAGTGTGAAATTCTGCTTCTCTGTGGTTTCACGCATCCCAGATTTGTGTGGAAGATTTTTATTTTCACACATTAAAAAAAAGCACAGATGTACAGTTTTCTATCCTCCCTTCTTTGTTATTTTGGGGTATAATATTTGATATAATATTGCAATTTAGTCTTACATTTTATGTCTTATTTTCCACTTTCCTCATCATTGTCCTTTTTGTGGTTAACTGGTATTTTCTTAATTTCCTGTTTCTTTTCCTCCACAGATTTCCTGTTGATTTTCCTCACTGTTTCTCTTAACTGTACATTTGATAATACCAGCTTATTCCCACAGTTCATGTATGCTTTAAGGTGTTAGTTACCATTGATCCTATCTCCATATTTGTACTAATACCATACTAAATATCCCCACAATGGTGATCAGACTCTCTAGAAAGTAGAGAACAAGGTATCTTTCCTGTAGTGAACTAGACAAAATTGAGGACATAAATATATTAAACTCAAAATGGAGGTCCTAATTGAACATATATATACAGCCTACCCAAAAGTCTGGTCTACTTACCTCACAATATTCACATGATTTTTTAAACTAAGTTGTCTTTCTTAAAGCAGAAAATGGAAAGTGTCTGTTAAATTCAACCAGTCCAGGAAGAAAGGAATAAGCAAAATTCAATAAAAATGATTTAATTGAATTGCTTAGCCATGTGTTTTAGGGTGATGAGCAAAAATTTGTCATGAACACAAAATTACTAATTGTCTTGTTTCTCTTCCTAACTTATTTATTATTAGTCAGGGAAAGTGTTGGGGTCAGATCTTACTCTGTAGTTCAGTGTGGACTATAACCCACTGCCAAGACTACAATAGTAAAATTCTGTCTCAAAAAATAGTAAGTTTTATTTAGGGGATGGAGAGATGGCATAATGTTTAAGAGCACTTGCTGCCTGCAAAAGACCCAGGTTTAGTTTCCAGCACCAACATGGAAGCTCATGACTGCCTGTAACTGCCTGTAACTTCAGGGAAATCAACACCTTCTTTTGACCCCCAAGGGTGCCTGGAACACATGTGGTGCACATACATAAAATTAAAAATAATCAAATATTCAAATAAAGTAGAATAATTATAAAATTATCCAGGTGTTTAAAACATCTGTTTAAAGAAAAAAAAACATCTTTAAGTAGGCAAAGGTTGATGTTTATATAGCTGGTTGTGTGAGAAAGACAGAAGTTCATAAAATAAAAAAAGCAAGTATTAGTACAAAAAGCAATGAATCTTTGCTGTTATTTGATTATATTTCCACTATGAACAGCACCAGAGACCTTTCTTCCTGAGTTAGTATGCAGACAAAGCAGGCAGTAGATATTTAGACTTATTCAATTAAACAATTTACATTGATATTATTTTATAAAGTGAATATTCCAAATTAGTCTCGTTTCATAATTAGGAATATATATAATGGACAAGTTCAAAGGTAATGTGAAAATGATGGAAAGTATATGTATAAACCAAAACTATCTTCTAAATCTTTGGACCTTAGCCCCCCAAAATAATTTTATGCTTGAGAGAAGAAAAGCTCAGGGAGGGCAGGATGGCTCAGAAGCTGAAACCTGGAGCCCTGAATTTGAGCTTAGGAACTTCTATGTGAAAGGAATCAACTCCAAAAAGCCATCTTCGGACTTCTACACATCCACAGTGGAGTTTCCTACAAGTCCAGGGCGGGGAGACGCCAGCTGGCCAGCGTGGGTCAGCCAGCCTGGGCAAGGGTGCCTGGCATCGAATTCTGGTCCAGAAGCCGCAAACAGTTCTACTTCTAGGATGACGCGCTCAGTCCTGGTTAGGAACCCCAGCCACAAGAGCCTTAGGCCACTTTATGGAGACCTTCATTCATACCCAGAAGACCTGAATCCCAGTCCCAAAGACCCAGACGCTATTTCTGAAAGTTCCAAACTACAGCTGGAAGACCTCAACACTGCCTCAGAAGATGGGGACCTTGATGCAAAAGAAGCTCCACAATCCACTTTGGGGAAGTCAGGCTCAGATTCCCAAGATCTGGATCACATGTCTTTAAGTTTCAACCTTGACCCTTAAGCCATTGGCCCAGTGCTCCTGGTTCTCGACCCAAGCAATGACACCCTCAGCCCTGCTGCCTCAGATGTGGATTACCTTCCCTCTGACTTCACTGCCACGCCTGAAATCTTGGCCACCAGCTTCCCACCACTGCCAGTCCACCTTGTCCCTTCTTCTGTCCCGATTGTGGGCAAGCTTTCGGTCAGCTCTGGGTTGAGCCAGCACTGATGCACCCACAGAGGAGAGATGCCTTCCTGCTGCCCCGACTGTGGCAAGTCACTCAGTCACCGCCCCACACTGGCCCAGCATCGTGACATCCACAGCGGTGCGAGGACCTACCAGTGTGCTGCCTGTGGCAAGGCCTTCGACTGGTGGTCCATGCTACTCAAGCATCGCAGCCGTCACAGCAGGGAGAAACCACACCATTGCCTTGTGTATAGCAAGGCTTGTTGCTGCCTGAACACTTGCGGTGATCCTTGTCCCCACAAGTGCCCGGTGTGTTGGCAGGGCTCCGGGCTGCTTAAACACCTGCACGCCTATACTAGTGAGTGTCCTTACCAGTGCCCGCAGTGCAGCAGAGCTCAGCATCAGCACACCCACACGGTTGAAAGTCCCTACCACTGTCTGCACTGTGGCAAGGTCTTTGGGCAGAACTCTAAGTTGCAGTGTCACCTCTGCATCCACTTAGGCCTGCCCACAAGGCTCCAAAGCCTTCCGGCAAAGCTCGGTGCTCCTGCAACAACTCCATGTGCTTTCTGACCAGCGCTACCTGGTTTAAGCACAGTATCTACAGTGAGGCCAGGGCAGACCTTTTTCCTAGGTCCTGATGGTGTTTCTGTGGCGGAATCTGACCTGGGCCTCAGCTCTGGTGCCAGTTCTGCCGGAAGTCCTGACCCTACTACGGTGCTGGGTTCACTCCAAAATCCCATCCTCCAGGCCCACTCAGGATCTATCGCGGTCCTGATCTTGTTCTGTCTTCTGACCCTAAGCCAGGCCATCATGTGAACCCTGACCAAAAATCTGATTCTAGTTCAAACCTTGACCTTGTTCCCAGTCCTAACCCTAACCCCAAGTCCCAGAGTCCCAAAGTGATCCCTGGTCTCCCACACATGACAGTCCCACCCCAGCCCTTCCAACTGGAGAGAGTCCCAAGTGGGTAAAGAAGGGGCCCGATGGATAAAGGGGACACTGGCATCTACGGTGGTATGGGCAAAGTGTGTTATATTCATAGTCAAATCCTCTTACCTCCTGAAAAAAAGTTCTCCTTCCACAAACACATATTTTAGTGTTTGAATCCGAGCAACAACTTCAGAGATGTAGAAGTCATTCAATAACCCTGCACTTCCAAAAATTTAAATAAGATGAAATTTCTCCTAACTCATCCTAGAAGTAATAACAGCAGCGCGTGTTTCCTATTTCAAATCCTTACTATTAATTTCACTACCTTTTCTGAGTTGCTATATTTTTTTAAATTATTTTTCTTAGCAGTATGGTTCAGCAAATGATAGGGAAAGTCTATACATGAAATACGCTGTTAGTCTGTAATTTCAATAACACGTCCAAGGACTCAATTCTGATGTCGACTACAGCTTCATCATTGTCCTTGGCTGATGACCTGATTCCTCTTTGGCAGCCATCAGAAATTAACTGAGCATCTCAGTCACAGCTGCAATCTTAGTTCCTCCTCCTACAGACATGCCAAGGAGATAATACTTCCATTGTTATAAACACCAGCCCTTGAATACTCGATTACTAATAATAAGTATATATAAGGAAATATAGACAAGTCTCAAAGGTCTGGCTTGTTTATCCAAACTGGGTAGAAAGTCCGCGGTAAGGATTACAGCAGGTGGTTAGTGAGAAATCTTCCACTATGTATGCACTATGCCTATATTTGAATAAGCTCTTAGGAGTAGTCACCATTCATTTTATTTCTTTCTCTCCCATGTCTTTCTCTGGGTATCATAAGTTACTCTTTATATACTTGTTCACTTCAAAATTGAGTTATGTTACTCTGTTCAACTTCGTTTGTCATCAAATGGGTGAGAATTTTAGCATTGTTTTTACTTTCTGTATAATCTACACTTACTTTGAATATGCTACAAAGCTACATCCCCCATCAAAATGATACAGAGCCCTGAAGTTAATCTGTCATTGTATCTTTTTAGTTTATAGAGAAAATTTGTCTTAGAAAGACCCTAAAATATTCTTATTTCCCATAGTTCTGATTACATTTTTTCTATCGTGTTTTTATTTACATTTTGATGTACAAATCTACCTTCTTCATATTTTTACCTTCTTGTCATCCAAATCTTAATCTAGTAAGTTTTTTTCTCTTTATCATAACACTTTCCATGGTTGACATAACTGTAAATAAGTTAGGGAAGGAAGGCTGAAATGGGAATAATTACATTAGGTAGAAAAATTATCACAATATAATATAAATTTGGGACCACTCTTACCTACTGAGAAAGTTTTTGTGAACACCAATCAGAGATGACACATGTGCCTCCCAAACACTCTTCAGCAAGTCATCAAAAGTGCAAGAAGGTAATTTCATGTGCTGTGTAGGAATAGGAAAGTTATTAATGTTTAGGCAATAATGACCCTTTTCTTGAAAAAAGTTTTGAAAAATATAAATGAGAGAATATTATTTTCCTAAATCAAAATATGAATGCTTAAAAAGTCCCAAATTGCTTCACATTAGTTACTCATGTACTTGAGAAAAACAAACCAATAATTCTTTTTGGTTTTGGTTTTGAACCTTTTCAAAATTTAATATCATTTACAACCAGATCTTTGGTACTTCTTTGTATCCTGCCATTCAGTGAACTTTCCATAGAATCAGAAAATTTCAAAATAGAGGAAGAAGAGCAACAAGAGTGCTTTGTCAAAACATATGCAATGCAGCAAGCGCATTTTCTAATGAAAGGTAATTTTTGCCTTGAACTCTTTCACCATGACATATTACTTGGGGTGCCCATAATTTCTGTGATTGCCCATTGATCATTTCAATTAGTTCATATATTATTTGTAGTCAAGAGAGCTGAAATAACCAAATTTATCACAACTTACTTTAGAGGATATATTCATATACAGCATCATTCAGTTGGCCTGGAATTAAATGCTTTATTACTGCAAAGACACAATTCTGTGTCCACACATTTGTGTATTATTTATTTGGCATAAGAAGGATGACTAGAGAGACATCAATAATGTATTGTGAATAAGGATGCTATCACTTGTCACTCACCAGTCTATTCATGTCAGTATTGGTTATATAACAAACAGTGGGGATTACATAGTAAGAAATGTATTGTTCAATATTAGGCATTAATTATCTGGTTACCTTTAAAGGTTATAGTTAAAACTAAAAAAATAACCTGGTAAAATTTATTCCACATTTCCATTGCTTCTGGAAAAGATGAATGACAACTAGAAACATCGTAACAAAACTTCTCCTGATCCTTGGATGGCAGCTGAAGGGTGATGTTGTCTGAGGATAGTTCCATTACACCAGAGTCAATGGCAGCCAGGAAGGGTATTACAGAGAGAAAATAATTAAGGTATGTGTAAACAAAATAACCATATGAGTATTGATAAAATAGAAAGGGGTCTTTTTGTTGCTTTTTTTCACCTTATGTTGTTGTTTTAAACAATATCTTGCTATGAAGCCCAGGATAGCCCCCAACTCATGATGGTCTTCCTGCTTCATTCAGTTGCCCAAGTGCTGGCATTGTGGATATGTGCCAATGTACCCAGCCAGAAATTATTTCTGAAGTACAGAATCACATCATGATGTAAGCACCAAAGATTTAAACATATATCGTTGAATTTAAGTAGAATCTATGCACTTTGGAAGTTGTGTCGGATTATCCTTCTGGATAAGATGCAATCATAATAAGTTAACTTTTAAAATTCCAGTTTCAAACAGCAAAATAAATTTATGTTCTAGATATATAACATTAATTCATAAAAAACAACTTCTGGCATTTTACAGTGCTACTTAGAATCTAAACAACAATAAATACAAGAGAAAATAGTAACTTTATAAAATGCTTTGCTTTCTTAGTCTCTAGAAGTTCTATTTGCATATTTCAAGTCTGACTTGTCTTTAAAAATATCCTAATCTATATGTAGTCTCTGGAAACTTCATTGTTCACAATGACAAAAAATTCTATTGCTCTTCCAGTATTTAGGGTAAGTTTGTCTGTTTATTTTCAGTTAAGAAAGGATTTGTTGTGGCTCAAGTTTGAGGATACAGTTAATCATGATAGGGACAGTCTCATAAGGAGATGCCCACACTGCATCTATAGTAGTAACTTCATGTTTGGTTTCGATTAAGTAACTGCTATATTAGGATGAACTTTTGTGGAAAGATAAGCAATTTGAGGTTTGTTAGATTAAACTTACCGGCCCACCAGCTGTCCTCAGAGATACACGGGTGATCTCCAGAGGCATGGCCACAGTCTGTCCTGTGAGTGGGGTCAGCTAACCTACCTGGAAGACAAAGAATGCAGAGTTGAACCCCCTAAGCTACATTTTTTTAACCTGAAGATATAAAAATTAACTAGATATAACTAGATATCATTCTTTTATGAGAATCCTCAAAACATTCATTCCATAGAAAAAGAAAATGCTTGCCATTTATCCTCAACTTCACTTTATAGTTCCTGCTCTGCTCACCACCCAGGTATCAATCAATATTTTGTTTTTGTTCTTTTTGACCCATTTGCACTCTACTAACCCAGAGGAAAGATCTGCATAGTTGTATCAATGGATTTTAATTTGTCAAAATCATTCATCTTCTAACAAACCAGAATGACTGCTACTCAAACTCAGATTCCTGTCCCAAATTTGCTGTAGTTTCCAGCATTTCATTAGACATAATTTTTCCTTCTGTCTCTGACTTTTTTCATGCATGCAACAGTAATTCCAAATTCCTTTCTTTATCCCATTTCTGAATTACTTTATCTTTTATTCATATAATTATATTGTTTTTATATTATTTCCACATTTATTCTATTCTCAAATTTTTTTCTTCCAACCATTAGCACTCTTTCATGCCTTGATCCTTCTTCATAGCTGTGTTCCTTTTGTGATTTTTTTTACCCTTTCTCTGGCTTCCCATATATTCTTCTCATTTGTGACATTTTTTCCAATTAAAATAACTTCCAGTAAAAATGAGTGAACTATTACCATATGACAATAAAATGAATGAAACACGGACATACAATGGGACTCAGGTGGATAAGCTTAGATGCTCCTTAGCAATTCTAATAAACCAAAAGAGAAAGAACGCACAACTCTTTACACAAATATTAGAGCTGTCTTTCCTGATAGGAAATGGACCAGTGGTTACCAGTAAAGTTAGAAATGTGGTCAGACAGGAGGAGTGTGAGCACAGGAGATGAGGAAGTTTCTGAAGACCAATGAAGAAAGAACAAAGTGCATACACAGGCCGATTCACAAATGGAAGTAAAGCAAACCACAAGGAGAAAAACTGAAGAAGAAAACTGAAAGAATATTAGAGTTAAAGGATTAGAAAGGAAAATAACCAATTTCTTAACAGGTGATTTATATGTCAAAATCAATCCCGTAATATCAAGGTACAGCTGTAATTAGAAAGAGTCTCCCTTACCTGTGTGGAATTGCTATCCATGAAATGCAGCCAAGCCCCATAAAATATTGTGTTCATTTTCTGGAGCAAATTTTTCAAAATCGCTCACGGTTTGCTTCACTAGGATTTTATATAATCCTAATCTTTCAGAGTAATTACAGGGGTTTATATTGTACTTCCCATCTTCTATTCTATATTCACTGAGTTGACCAGGACTCTCCTTCCACAGAGGGGGATAGTAATCGGTGAGATTGGAAGCTCCCACTAAAAACACAGAAATACAACCAACTAGTATGCAGATCCAGGTAGAATTAAAGGTCATGATGAGTAAGATAAAGATAGAGACTGAGATAATTATACAACTTTTATTAGGCAACTGAAGGGAGTGGTCATGCAAGTAGTCATCACCTCTACCAATGTAATGCCCTTTGCTAATAATAACAGGATGTGGGTGAGCAGTAATCATAGAGTACTTCCCTTGTTAATTATCTCCCAAAAAATAGCATTGGCCAGATATAAGTCACAAGAATTAAGGAAGACTTATTTTTTTTTCTTTGAATTTATCAAGCTCCAGTTTCCTTGTCTTGTATTAACTATAACAGTAAAGTCCTTTATCTTGACATTTATATTTTATATGAAGTATTTATTATTATTATGACCACAGTGCCATGAATTTTAAAATATTTTAAGTAAATAACTTTTTGAAAGTATTCCAGAAAATAAAATACAAGTAAGAATTTTTTCTCAATATATGTTTTTATTTAAATTAGAAACGTGAATGTTTCACATGTCAGTCCCAGCTCCCTCTCCCACCCCTTCTCCCTTGTTCCTCCACCAGCCCCCTACCCAATCCCCACATCATTCCCAGGGAGGATGAGACCCTCCTTGGGGAGGATCTCTAAAGTTTGTCATTTCATCCTAGGCAGGACCTTGGCCCTTCCCCATGTGTCCAGGCTGACAGAGCATCCCTCAATTTGGAATGGGCTCCCAAAGCTCATTCATAAACCGTGGTGAACTACCCAAGGCCCCAGTGATTTCTGTGGCCTCCTCCCTTGCACTACATTCATGGAATCTGGATCAGTCTCCTGTTGGCCTCTCAGCCATCAGTCTGGGATCCCAGAGCTCTCCCTTGTCCAGTCAACTGTCTTAGTGGGTTTCTGTTGGGGAAGTCTTATGTCAATAAAGCACTGTTGAGCCAATAGGGAACTAACATAGGAGGGACTAGGAGTCCAGAAGGACTCTGGGTAGGAGAAAGACGGAGAGTCAAGATGTAACGCCATGGGGTAGGAAGCCCGGAACTATTCTCCGGTAAGAGAAATACTTAGATTAACAATTATGGGGTAATTACTTAAGTCAGAGCTAGCCAGTAAGAAACAAGCAAGGCCAACAGCTTCATAATTAATATAGCCTCCTGTGTGTTTATTTGGGACTGATGCGGCTCTAGAACCAGGCTGGCAGGAAGGCTTCTCTCAAGGAAAAGCTTCCTTTTACAGGTTTCATCATCATGGTCTTGACCCCTTTGCTCATCATTCCTCCATATCTGTCACTAGGTTCCAGGAGTTCAGTTCAGTGTTTAGCTGTGTGTATCTGTCTCTGCTTCCATCAGTCCCTGGATGAAGGTTCTAGGATGGCATATAAGGTAGTCATCAACCATATCATCAAGGAGGGGCTATTAGTGTAGTCTCTCCACTATTGTTTAGGTTTCCAGTTGGTATTATCCTTGTAGATCTCTGGAGATCTCACTAGAGTCAGCTTACTCCTCAAGCCTATAATGACTCAATCTATTATGGTATCTCTTCTTAACTTGACTCAACCTTCCTGCTCCCCCATGACTTCTTCTCCCCTCCTCTTCTCCCCCTCTGTTTTTCTTGTTTCAATCTCCCCTCCCCCAATGTTCCCAATGTGCTCAGGAGATCTTGCCTCATTCCACTTCTCTGGGGTATCATGCATCTCTCTTGGGAACCTCCTTGTTTCCCAGAATCACTGGCACTAGGATTTTAGGCTAACACTCCCCTGATCCATATCTAAAGTCCATATATGAGTGAGTACATACCATGTTTGTCTTTTTGTGACTGGGTTACCTCACTCAGGATGGTTTCCTCTAGTGCCATCCATTTGCCTGCAAATTTCAAGATTCCATTGGTTTTTTTTTCCACTGAGTAGTACTTAATTGTGTAAATGTACCACATTTTCTCTATCCACTCTTCAGTTGTGGGGCATCTAGGTTGCTTCCAGGATCTAGCTATTACAAATAATGCTGCTATGAACATAGTGGAACAGACATCCTTGTTGTGTGAATGGGAATCTTTTGGGTATATGCCTAAGATTGGAATTGCTGGGCCTTGTGGTAGACTCAGACCCATTTTCCTGAGGAATCTCCATACTGATTTCCATAGTGGCTGTATGTTGGGGAAGTCCTGTATATATGTCAATAAAGCATTGCTGGCCAATAGGGAATCAAGATAGGTGGGACTAGGAGTCCAGGAGAACTCTGGGAAGGAGAAACACAGAGAGTCAAGATGTAACGCCATGGGGGTAGGAAGCCCGGAAACCTCTCCAGTAAGAGAAATACTTCATAATTAATATAGCCTCCTGTGTGATATTTGGGACTGATGCAGCTCTGGAACCAGGCTGGCGGGAAGGCTTCCCTTTACAGCTGTACTAGTTGGCACTCCCACCAGCAGTGGAGGAGTGTTCCCCTTTCTCCACATCCTCTCCAGCACAAATTGTCATTGGTGATTTTGATTTTCCTAGTTTCTACTTTATTGATTTCAGCCCTCAATTTAATTATTTCTTGGTGTCTGCTCCTCTGGGGTGAGTTTGCTTCCTTTTGTTCTAGAGCTTTCAGTTGTACTGTTAATTCTCTAGTGTGACTATTTTCCAGTTTCTTCATGTAGGCACTTAGTGCTATGAACTTTCCTCTTAGCACTGCTTTCAAAGTGTCCCATAAGTTTGGATATGTTGTGTTTTCATTCTCATAGAATTATAAAAAGTCTTTAATGTCTTTTTTATTTCTTCCTTGACCCAGGAGTGGTGCAATAGTGTATTATTCAATTTCCATGAGTTTGCAGGGTTTCTGTGGTTTGTGTTATTGTTGAATTCTAACTTTAAGGCATGATGGTCTGATAAGATACACAGTTATTCCAATTTTTTGTACCTGTTGAGGTTTGCTATTTTGCCAAGTATATGGCCAATTTTTGAGAAAGTTCCATGTGGAGCTGAGAAGAAGGTATATTCTTTTGTGTTTGGATGGAGTGTTCTATAGATGTCTGTTAAACCCAATTGGGTCATAACATCTATTAGGTTCTTCGTATCCTTTTTAAGTTTCTGTCTTGTGGTCCTGTCTAGTGGTGAGAGTGGGGTGTTGAAGTCTCCCACTACATGTGTGTGAGGTTTTATATGTGCTTTGAGTTTTAGTAATGTTTCTTTTACAAACATAGATGGCTTTGCATTTGGGACATAGATGTTGAGAATTAAGACTTCATCTTGGTTGATTTCTCCTGTGATGAGTATGAAGTTCCCTCCTTCATCTCTTTTGATTGATTTTATTTTAAAATCTAATTTGTTAGATATCAGGATTGCTACCCATGCTTGTTTCTTGGGTCCATTTAATTGGAATATCTTTTCTCAACCCTTTACTCTGAAATAACGTCTGTCTTTGAAGCTGAGGTGTGTTTCTTGTATGCAACAGAAGGATGGGTTCTGTCTTTGAATGCATTCTGTTAACCTGTGTCTTTTTATGGGAGAGTTAAGACCATTAATGTTGAGGGAAATTAATGATCATTGATAGTTTGTTTGGGAATGGTTGTTGGTGGTGGAATTGTATGTGGGTTTCCACTACTTTTTCTTTTGCCTGTTGGTAAAGTGGGATTATCTATTGTCTACATTTTTCTGGTAGTAGTTAACTTCCTTGGGTTGGAGTTTTCCTTCCAGAATTTTCTGTAGGGCTAGGTTAGTGGATATGTATTGTTTAAATCTGGTTTTGTCATGAAATACCTTGTTTTCTCCATCTATACTGATTTAAAGCTTTGCTGGGTATAGCAATATTGGCTGGCATCCGTGGACTCTTAATGTTGGTAGAATATCTATCCAGGACCTTCTGGCTTTCATAGTTTCCATGGAGAAGTCAGGTGTAATTCTGATATGTAACTTGGCCTTTATATGTAACTTGGCCTTTTTCCCTAGCTGCTCTTTTGTAGGAGTGAGCTATCCGCCCAACAGGGCATGGTCAAGGTAGAGATAAAAGGAAGCAAAAGGAAAAGGGGCTTCCCTTTTTTCTCCTGGAAGCCAGCCACGCTTCTGACTCCTGGTCAGTGCGACTCTCTCTCTCTCTCTGGTAAATAAATATATCTTTTTCCTTATATAGCATCGAATATCGTTAGATCTGGTGTCAGAAGTGGGATGATGACAATCATGGGGACATGTGGGAAGAAATTGTTTGTGTAACAAGAGTCTTAAGTAGGTCAGTTAGTCTCTGTTTTGTAGGAGAGGCTTGACTGAAGTTCCGGATTAGATTTTGATTTTGATTGAAGCTCTTGTCTGAAGCTCTGATCAGATTGTAGAAGATGCACTGTATCAGTTCCTTGGCCTGACGATGTGTCGAGTGATGTAGTTCCAAGCTGGTTTCAGGATGGTGCCTGTCAGGTGGGGTCGGTGATGTGGGGCAGTTTAGATGTATCCAGTCGAATCAGGCGGAGTCGGGAAGTAAATCCACATTCTCTTTCTGAAGCAGTTGAAGATCACTGTCAAGAAATCCCTTTGTCTCTAGAAAACTGAAATATTAATGTTAGCACAGAAATTCTTAACTTCTATGTGTATGAATACGGGGAAAGGCAACCCTAAGGAAGATAATACATTTTTAAAGGATAATGCATTTTTAAAGGATGATTGTAGGAGTGAGCTATCCGCCCAACAGGGCGTGGTCAAGGTAGAGATAAAAGGAAGCGAAAGGAAAAGGGGCTTTCCTTTTTTCTCCTGGAAGCCAGCCACGCTTCTGACTCCTGGTCAGTGCGACTCTCTCTCTCTCTCTCTCTGGTAAATAAATATATCTTTTTCCTTATATAGCATCGAATATCGTTAGAGCTCTTAATATTCTTTCTTTATTCTCTATGTTTGGGGTCTTGATTATTATGTGTTGAGGGGATTTTTTGGGGGGATCCACTCTATTTGGTGTTCTCTAGGCTTCTTGTACCTTCATTGGCATGTCTTACTTTAGGTTGGGAAAGTTTTCTTCTATTATTTTGATGAATGTGTTTTCTGGCCCTTTGAGGTGGGTTTCTTCACCTTCTTCTATACCTATTATTCTTAAGTTTGGTCTTTTCA